GTTTAGGTCGGGATGTCTTGAAATTCTTTGATTAACGTTCACCAATCGCTAATGGAACTAATTCTGTGTGCTGTGCTCGCGGTGAAACAGGATGCTCACTGAGCTGAGGAGTTGGCAGGCTGGATTCACTTCGGCGAGGCTCCTCCTATTCGGGTTCTCCGATAAATTTGCCTAGACAACTCATAGTGGAAGACTCACCGTCGGAAAGAGCTGTCGTTGTTTTAAGACAGGCGTAGCATGGCATAGACGCGTCAAGCAATCTTCGGCGTTAGTTAGTTTGTGGTATCAAAACGTCCATCTACGCGTAGGTGGCGGATTTGTCTGAGATCTGCACCGTGGACTGGATACAGAAAGCTTTCTGCGTTGATTAAAGAACCACTTCACAGTCGTATCTGGGGAGATGGGCGTCCGCTATTCCATGAGAAAAACAGTCTGATGAAGGTGAGCTTTTGGCCTAAGTCCACTTTGCAGCCTCACTCCTATTATATGTTCTAGTAACCAGTCGGAGGACGTATAGCCAAAACTGCAAGCTCCTGTTCTGCAATCCCACGTGAAGGGGAATAGAACACATTCGGTGTATTTCAATAGTGTGCTTCAACGGAGCCACCTTGCAAGTGTGTCAGGCGAGTGGATGCGCGAGCTTAGGGACAGAAATGGACTAGCCTGCTCGAGTTCAGCTTAGCCGTCACATACACCTCGTAGTCCATCATAACAACTAGTTTGACCGCAGCTCGTTATCACCCGGTTGAAGTTGGCTTGTTCAAGAACTATAGGTTATAATGCCTTATAGAAAAAACTAAAAAGTGTAAAGTTCAATACTAGAGTATATAAAGCAATGTTTGATCCATACAATTGTGAAACAATCGTGGCCTCACTGCGAGTCGAACCACACAGCAGGAAAGGCTTTTGCGCAGCCAACACTCTACCCTATTTGCGCATGACTATGACTATGATAACATCACCTAGGATTAAGGATTCTCGACGGAATTCGAAATGTCAGGAAAATAAAACTCTTGTTCCAGTGATCGCATCCTCTTCTTTTCAACACTCTACCATTGAGCTACGAGGCTCACCGTGAGCCGTGAATTTAATCACGCTTGGGTCGATTTGCTTGCCCAGCTTTACTGCACTATGGAGTCGACCAATACGGACACAGTAAGTTGACTCCCAGACAGGATTTCCTAAGTAATCATCCTGGATCCACAGGATGAACTACTAGGTTAACCTTGGTTGTTAAGGGCTTGGCAGATTAAAGTAATTTTACTGACCCGATTGTGAACAATTAGCAGCCCCGGTGGAAGTCGAACCCACACAAAAAGGAAGGCTTTTGCGCAGCCAAAGCTCTACCACTACGCGGTTATCCCGCAGTGGATGGTGGTCTTCAGCTTAACTATTTCAATCATCTTTCGAAACTAGCCTAAAAGGTTTATTCCCAATTCTGGCGCTCATTTTCGAGGTAATTAAAAGCAGAACAACGAGGTTATTTCTACATCATTTTGCCTGATAGCAGTTTGTGAATACTATGCGGATATCCCGCAGTGGATGCTGGACTGGGTCCACATATATTCATATCAAATTTTGAATATACTGATCTAATCCGAGTTCGAAATTAAGCTTTCTGATGGAATTTTAAAAAACGCAGAAATTGCAAAACTGGAATATCTACCAGAAAGCCTACAGAGAACGCTGGGGGACACACTGATGAGCCGGACCCCTCGCAGCTGTATCAAGCAGCAGCATCAGAATATTGGTGAAATACGTGTCTGAACTTTCAGTTACAACCTGTGCGGTGAATAATTACGTAGGATACGTTCTGGTTGCAAGTGCTACAATTGGAGCAGGTCTAGGCAAGTAGAGGAGGTACATTAGGCTAAAAATTGACGGCCCGACCGCTCTCGCTTACGCAGTATGGGTCTTGTAGGGGTCGTGCGCACAAGGAGAAAAGTGAGGTCTCGCTGCAATCGGGGCCTGTCTCTGAGTTCACATTCATCACAGCAGGCCGGGCGACGAAGGGAAGCTAATTAGGTTGGAAGGCCAAGGGGGCTGGGGACAAATGTGTGCACGCACTCACGCACATAGCCGTCGGAATGACCTTGACGCGATAATGGCCGCCACAGCACGTACGCACCTTGGGCGCGCGCGCACCTCCTAGATGGTGAATTATCACTCTGCCAGTTGATGCCTTATAGCTCTCTCTCTATCTCGCTCTCCGACGCCCTCCCTCCCTTCCCACCCGCAGCACGCCCTCCCCGATGTGTGTGTCCGCCTGTGACAGGCGGTAATTAGGTTGAAGCAAACGAGCAAAGGGGCAGAGGAGGCGAGGTTAGCACCAGTTCCAAACGCCCTCCCTGCCCTCCCCCGTCTCTCTTCTTCCTCCTCGTCCCCTAAATAGCCGTCACTTAATTGCCATAATGAAATAACGGCCACGGTTGCTGGCACGGCTAATTAGGTCTGCAAGGAGGTCACAGAGAATGACGTGGGGAGGAGGAGGAGGATGAGTATTGGGACAGGAGGAGGAAAGGGGCGTTGCTTTCATCAGAGTAAAAGAAGCGATGGCGGCGGCGGCGCAAGCGACGTCGGTGCCTGACTTTGAGCAGTTCCTCAAGAGGGCGCTCGCTGTGGGGACGGGAACTCTGGGCAGCTACGAGGTAAATACACCAAAGCCAGGATTAAAACTGTTTGCGAATGGTGTTCCGACACTTAAAATCGGGGAAGAGTAAA